CTTCTTTCCTTCTGTCTCTGCTCCTCTTTCTCCTTCCTTCCTTCCTTCCTTCCTTCCTTCCTTCCTTCCTTCCTTCCACTCTGGTAGTAGGTAGAGGCTATTAGGATGCCATGACACACCTGGGCATTGCGTTGCCACCCCAGATGCCAATGGCAAAGGAAGTCCTAACTCTTAATGAGTAAGTACCCACTGAAGCAGCATCCAGAGGCAGCTAGATGTGGCCTGTGGTCTCTCTGGCAAAAGAACCACATAGAAAAAGTATGAAAGGCATTCTGCTATGAGAGACAAGAAAGCTGTTGTTAATTAGGCATTTCTCGAGAAGCAGATAATTGGATCAATGAAAAGAAGGTTCTGGTATTTTGATCAAGTCAGTTGAAAGTTTTGGGTTTTTTTTCCTATTGCCAGAGATACTTTGGCCCCCAGCCACTCCCGCAGTGGCAGCTACAGCGAGAGCTCCCTGGAAGTCCGCATATGGCAGGAAGAACAGGAGAAGATGCAAAACAACCAGAAGCGTCAAGACATGGAATACACGTAAGGAACAGCTGTGAAACAGCTGCCATGGGATTTGAATGAAGAGACGCAGTGCTGAGGCTCCTTGCTGTGCTTAATGAGAATGTTCAGCTTTTTTTGGCATATAAGGCCCTAAGCCACTTGGGAACCAGATCCTGAACATGTTGCATTCATGTTAGGAAACCTGTTGGTTGCCAAGAGCATTGGAAAGGGTCCCTCTGTCTCAGAGGTGGGTTCCTCCTTGTTCGGCCCGCATCAGGTGAACCAGTAGTAGCAGTGGCGGGAGGATCCGCCCACCCCCCCGGACGCTTCTGTGCCTGTGCAGGAGCATTGAGAGAGAGAGAGAGAAAGAGCACAAGAGCGAACCGGTAGTAAACAATTTGGAAACCCACCACTGTTCTGTCTATACTTTAACTAAATGTCCTCTTGTGGTTACTAGTGGGCAGGGCTTACTTCATGAACGGTCCAGGGGTGGGCTTCAAAAATTTCAGCAACAGGTTCTCTGCCCGGTTGCTGGGTGGGCGTGGCCATGGTGGGCGTGGCCTAGTCAGCCTCCTGCACCATGGCGGGGGGCGGGGCGTTTTCGCTTTCCCCAGGCTCCAGAGCAGGGGTGAAATCCAGCAGGTTCCGACAGGTTCTGGAGAACCGGTAGCGGAAATTTTGAGTAGTTTGGAGAACCAGCAAATGCCACGTCTGGCTGGCCTCAGAGTGGGGAGGGAATGGAGATTTTGCAGTATCCTTCCCCTGCCATGCCCACCAAGCCATGCCCACCAACACACATCATGCCCACCAAGCCACGCCCACAGAACCAGTAGTAAAAAAAAATGAATTTTACCACTGTTCCAGAGGCTCTCCTTGAGCCTCTGGGAGGGCAAAAACTGGCTCCCTGGGCTCCGGAGGCCTTCCGGGAGGGCTGTTTTCCTCCCTCCCCGAGCCTCTGCACGGGCCCTGCACTTACCTTGGATCCAAAAGGGGCCCGCATGAATGCTCCTGGGAGGGGAGGGGTGGGAGATGTGAGGTGGGATGGGTGGAGCCAGTCAGGGGTGGGATTTGGAGGTTCTCCGAACCGGCCATAATGTTAGCTATGGTTTCTCCCGAATCCGGGCAAACCCCTAGCATCCGACCCCTGGGACAGTCTCTACCTGGGAGATCCTGAAGCATCATCTCTTGCATCTGGGGGACACCAAGCAAAAACCTCCAGTCTAAGCTTTCCTTGTATTAATGCTAAGCTATCAGCTAAGGATTACGGTAAATGAAACCGTAACTGGGATCAGAAGGATACAACATCTGAACATTGACTGAGAAAGGTGGTTTGGTCCAGTGACTCTCTTTTACGTCTTACTCCAATAATATTATTACCTCCGCATTGACCAGTCTAATGAATTATTGCTGTCGCTAGAATAAAGAATCTGTATGCAAAAATCATCGAGAAAGATGCCATGATCAAGGTCCTTCAGCAGCGATCCAGGAAAGATACCAGCAAAGGAGATTCTGCAAGTTTGAGGCCCGCTCAGTCGGTCCCCTCGATAGCCGCAGCTACGGGAACACACTCCCGTCAGACCTCCCTTAACCACACCCAGGGCGTTGAGGAGAAGAAAGAAGAGAAGTCCTGGAAAGAAAGCATTGGTGAGCTTCAGTTCATATGTGATATGAAGGGACAATTGTTGTTGTTTTTTTCAAGTTATAATGATCCACATTTTATTTAGCTTTTGGATTCTGTTGTCTCCACACTTCTTTAAGTCTCAGGTCTCTTTATATCTGGACTTTGGAACTTCTTTTCATCTCTCGCTACAAAGCCAATACTTCCCGAGGGTTTTACTTACTTCTGCCATATGGGCACTTTTCCCTTCTTCATACATTGCTGCTGGAAGCATTCCATTAGCTTTGTTCCCAAATGTTTGTGAACCTTCAGCCCTGTCACATCATTTCAGCCAGTTTGCATCACTGCCATGAGTATTATGTGGTCGGAAAAGATGATCTGTCTCCTTCCCAGCCATTCCTTTTAGAAGGAGCCAGCACGTTTCAGAAACATCAGCAATATTTAACTGGGATTGGTTGTGAGAAATATATTTTAACAAAGACAGAAATGGATGATGGGCAACCTGAGAGACCGCCTCCTGCCGATTACCTCCCTTAGACCGATCAGATCTCACTGGTTAGGTCTCCTCCGGATTCCATCCGCCAGCCACTGTCGGCTGGCGACTCCCCGGGGGAGAGCCTTCTCTGTTGCAGCTCCAGCCCTCTGGAATGACCTCCC